CGTTTGGTATGCAGACGGGACGAGACGGGACGAGACAGGACGGAACAAAACGGAGCGGGAGCAAAGATGCCCTCGGATGGAAACAAGGAGGAGGAAGAAGGAGACGGAGAGGTTATAATTTTGTGTTCCATAGATGTGGAACGAGTCGTTCCAGGGGGTTGAGGCGGAACGAAAATTCACCCAAAACTCGTCCCATGGAACAGCTCGTTCCATTCGTTTTAGGCGCACCAAACGTGGGACGGAACGCCTTGTCCCACTCTGTTCCGTCCCGTCCCACGTACCAAACGGTACCTATAGGAGCCTCTTCACACGCCCTCGTTATCACAAATTCATTGCCTCCACCACCACAACTAAACAAGTTATATATGGTCTAGGGTTTACACTAAACCCTGAACACTTTTGATAGACCTTTTAGGCCCATCACGGTCATCACAAATATTGCAGATATTGTCTCAACTTAACCACCTGTTACTAGGTGTTGGGTTTTATCACAAAAAGTTTTGGTGATATTAAGGGTGAAAACTCTTATATATTAGTCGTATATTATTTTGTCATGATCAATGTTGGATCCTATTCTCTAACACGCTGGCCTCCTCATGAATAGCCTCACACAAGGCCATAAGGGAAACCAATTCGCACATCTGGAACTGGTCAAGTCATTATACCGAAGCTAAGACAACTTTTCGAGAGCCTAGTCATCATTTAGGGACTAGAGCCAATGCAACTTTTTGAAGGCCTAGTCATTTAATATCTTAAGCAGTTGAGCTGGAGCTAGCGCAAATTTTCGAAAACCAACTTAAGGAGGCAAATTCGAGCCCAGTAAATCGCGAAAGAATAGCCCCCTCTGATACATGATAAACTTTTTAGGTCTAGCATGATCCACCATCAATATCACCGATATTGTCCAAACTTAACCACATATTAGTAGGTATTAAGTTTTATCATAAAATGTCTCAATGATATTAGGGGTGAAAACTCTCATATATTAATTGTATATTATTTTGTCATATGACCGATATAAGATCCGATTCTCCAACAACTTCACACTTACGGTTACGAGTACCAGCGCAACCATATACCATTATATACCTTACAACAAAATCACAAAAAACACATCCAGGTCAGATTGCAACATGAATTACAAGTGGATTTTATCGATCTGTCGGGTCCTTGCAGCTAGCTCAGATTGAAACCCTTAAGCCAGTCATGTTTCTGTTTCAGCCAGTACCATCCTGATAAGGTTGCCCTAGACTGCCACTCAATTACTTGATGCTACAAAACATGATCCATGCAAATAGCTAACAAGGCCAAAAAACATCAAAGTCAGCCGCCATCCATATGTATATATATACATGTGTAATACAGTAAATAATTCAAAGGTTGATCAAGTTGAGTGGAAGAAATACAGATAGATATGATATAGTTGTGATCTGATCAAAAGTGGGCCAAACTTTTTCTGCTTTCTGCATATAATGCTTTCACATCCCTTTTGCCTCTGTGTTGTGTATTTCTGTAGTCCTACACCACATGTTGCCTGGAAAATAACACAAGGGAAATAAAGCCAGAGATGATTAGTTGAACGCATGTGAAGAAACCATAATTTTTGTGTCCTTTCACCTTCTTTTTCTTTAATTATTATGGTATTCCAAATATTTCTACAAGAGCAGGCGAAAAGTTAAATGGTAGACTTGTTTTCCGATTTTAAAACAGTATGTTAAGTTTATAGGTTGAGTGATTGAGTACACGCCTCAAGTCGATGATGCTCAAATCTTCACTTTCTGATGATCAAAAGAAAACAAAACTATATATCCCTGAAACTATTTAAGTATTGTGTAAGTTGATGATGGTGTTGTCGTGTTGGTATAATTATTTATGTAATTGTGACATTAAGACTATTAAGTACGCTGTGCAGTTTAAATATTCATGATAGGCATGATTATTTTGATTATTTTAATTATTTTAATTATTTTAATGGGATTAATGGATTAGAACAAGCAAGTGCCATATAAAGCCAGAAAGGCATCGGCTTCGTTCAATTTAATTATGTTGGCTGATACCGACTAGGGTGTCGATATCACATACCTCAATCATATTAAGGGTACCATGTACTTATCATATTCTCTTTGATAAATTAACATATTAGCTAGTCCTAATCTGTATTATTCATTAGTCAAATATGTTGGCTATAAGCTTCACCAAATATATTGTATGTGAAGTGGTTTTCTGTGCATATTTTTAAGTCTCAAACTTAAAAGATTGGTGTAAAACACATCATCAACTTAATACTAGAAGAATGTTACGATCAACCCACTCACGTATGTATCTTTTTCCTAATTTTAATGATATTCTATTATAAAAAGAAAGGGTGATATTTTACTTTGAGAGCAGCTCTAATGGTGGCCTAAAAGCTTAGAGAATTGGATTGCTTTGCCTCCAACCTCCAAAACCCACGTCCAACGGCCCAAAAAATGAAGGGCTATTGTTGGCAATAAGCGACGTCATCATGACATCAAAGAGCAGACATGGGGCCCACCACGTGTTTCACTTCAGAGCCCAATGGTTCTCTATAGCTGCCTTTCTCCGTTGTTGGCTTTCCAACGGTTTTCACATCTTGATCGTTTGATTTCGAACAATAATTTTTTTTTGAAAATTATAGATTTGTGTCACGTGACACAATTTGGCTCATCTGAATTAAAAAAAAAAAAAGAAATCGACAATCAGGATTAATCCAAATGTAAAACAATCCAACAAAATACCCAAAAAAAATCATTTTTTAATTATGCTTGTTTGTAATGCTATGCTTTGTATTTAAAATTAAATTATCAAAGTTAAATTGGGAGTTTTATTTTCAAAGAAAAAACTTACTAAGTAGTAAGTATACACGTACAAGGCATAACAAAAATATATATATATATATACATATATTTGTAAACAGTAGTCACCCTTGCCCTTGCCCTTGCCCTTTCTCTTCTCAAACGGATGGACTTGCCCAAACACAATTACTGTTTAGAGCAATTTTACTGCCCTTGCCCTTGCACTCCAAAAAACGGGTGGACTTGCTCTAAGAAGATGGGGGTTGGGTTAGGCCACACAACTTGATATCAAATTCAACATAAATACAATATGCACCGTTATTCATGTGAATCGAACTTGAGACATTTTACTTACAAGTAAAATAATTATCAATAGACCATAATACTAGTTTAATTCTAACTATTAAATCAACTTGTGCGCATATGTGACTGACCTCGACACTACTATAGTAGTGTTAACTTTTTATACAATTAGTTAAAACAAACCCCATAAAGTTTATTGTGTTTTTACAAAACCTCTTCATGTTTAAGAAATACTATCAACTCATGAGTTTAGAATAATTTCTCAAACATGTCTATAATAACCATAAAAAGTTGACAAAGCACCAACGATCAGAATCAGCTCATGCACACTTGTATAGAGTGGTTAACACTCATCTATTCGCACAACTGTCTTAGTAGTAATTGCCTTTGGATTGCTCTTACTATTCACTCTATACAGTGGTTAACACTCTATACTCACTTTCCTTGTCCTTGTCCTCACCCTCGCCCTCGTTGCATATGTCAACACTCATTATATCACTCGCTCTTAGCAGTTATGAATGTTCTACAATTGTAATTAGTATTTGAAAATAAAAGAACAATAATTGAAATTACTAAAAACTCATTAGGCGACTTAATTAACAGAAAGTTCCCATTCAAACGGAAAAATAAAATAACCTCCCATGAATTTCTCCATTTCTGAATCTAAATTAGATTCACAGGATCACTTTTTTTTGTTTTGTTTTTCACTCAAACAACAATATTTTGCGTATCCTCCTTTTGAATAGGTCGCACCCGATCAACAAAACTTTATGTTACTATTTTACCCCTGCTCTTTGTTTTACTACCCAACTAATTTTTCTTAGTTCATTTTAATCTCAAATTAAAAAACATATTGATATGCAGTCCAACATCTCGTATTTCACACGACACTATTTTAGATTTTTATTCTATGTTGTATGTTTTGGATTTAATTTTTGACGCTTATGAATAATGATAAGAGAAGGTTATCGATTATTAAAATAATGAATTGTCATTACGAAACCACCAATTAATCTCCGTTTAAGAAAAAAAAAAAATTCCCGCTTGGAGTTGTATCATTGCCGTAATAAATTGGATTATTGGGGTAATACAAATTGGCTTTTGTGCTGATTTTAATATTACAAAGTACGGTTACAAATTCATTACTTTTGTAAAAAAAGTTTCTTCAAAAAGAAAATAAAAAAGGGAAAAAACTCAACCACCAATCACGGAGAAGTGAACTGGGTCCTTAAATAGGGACCCACGTATCTCCACATAGGATTTCTGCACATGATGACGCAGGTCCCACATCAAGTTAATAATCTAAAGTGCACTCAGTCCTGCGGTTACGATTTCACTATTTATCCACAAACACCAACGCCTGGAGAAAAACAAACTGTAACTAGCTGCCACTTGCCACGTGGCGAGCATGCATACGGAGATTAGATTTTCGCACCCCAAACTCCAACGCCGAGATTAAATCTAGACCGCTGATTGTCCTCAGGTGGGGCCCATTTCTACTTGCATGTCAGCCACCAACTCTGGCGACAGGACAAGAAGACAAAACAGAACGTACGGGGTCCCACGTGGGTCTGCTGTACACCCACATCCGTATTTCCAAAAATTAGTTGGGGAAACAAAAAGAAAAAAAAATTAACTGAATGGACTATTTCAATATACATGGAGGACAATTTGGGGATTTCAGTTGGAGTCTGTTTCGAAAATCCAGGCTCATTTTCCATAAATTCCCGCAAATTTCTGTAACGACATGTTCCACTACAACCTGTATTTTTTTTAAAATTAAATTAAACATATTTTTTTATAAAAATTCAGCAAAACAGAGAAGAAGAAGAAGACACCATTAGGATAAGAGTGAGAAGCAGTAAGAGAGAGAGAGAGAGAGAGAGAGAGAGAGAGAGAGAGAGAGAGAGAGTAGAGAGACAGAGTGGTGGTGTTTTAAATTTTTTTAATTAATTATTAAAAAAATGAAATTGTAGTGTTTTTTTTTTGTTGTGTATATATTTATATAGTTGGTTGATTTTGAACTAAAGACAAGGCCCCTCTCTCTCTCTTGTATTCTATCCCTTCTGTCAGTTTGCTTTTCTTAAGAATGTTTCAGAGAAGAACTGGAACATAATTGCAGAAGAAGAAGATAAAAATAGCAAGAGAAAACACCACCTAGAGAGAGAAAGAGAGGAGAGAGAGAGAGAGAGGAGGAGGAGGAGGAGAAGGGAGTGAGCAGAAGAATCAAATAATCTATGGCTGCTATGGAGGAGGAGGTGGATTACTGGTGGTGGTTCCTTTGACTTTGGTGGTTTCATCTTCTTCTCAAAAGGTTTGGTGGGTTTGTTTGTTTAGATCTTTTTTTTTTGGCTCGTTAATGGCTGCATACTTACCATTTCTTGCTGTTTTTGCTCCTTTGTATGCTTAATTATGGCCAAAGTTTTGGCCTTTTGACTTGGGTTTTTCTATAACAGCATATCAAAATAAAAAGAAAAATATTGATAGCAACTTCAAACCTGTAATTTTTTTTTTGAATTTCTGTGTTGCTTCAACTTCTGGTATGGTTTTTATGTTTCTGAAAAATTTGATGCAGGCAAAGGGTGTTGGTTTTTACTTGAGTTCTGTGATTTTTGCTTGGAAATTAAAAACCTATTTTTTATTATCTATTTTTAGAATAAAATTGAAATGGTCGGGTTTTCTTCTGGCTGCAAAGCATATGGAAATTTGACAAAAGATGTTTTCTGGGTTTTATTTGACCTTCAAATCTGAACAAAATTCACAACCACTGCAGTTTTGTTTTTCTAAAAGTTGAAACCTTCACCTTCTTCTCCTTCATGTTTTTTTTTCAAGAGAAAAAATTGAAGGAAAAATACTAGAATTGGTCGGGGAAAGAATTTACTGCGTTTTTTTTTTAATCCTGCCTTGGTGGTTAATAATAATGGTAATAATAATTTAAATAAATAATACGTATGCTGCTAATTAGAGAAATAAATGTTTGTTTTTGGTGCTGATTTTCTTGGGTTAAATTCACCATCCTCATTTTCTGTTGAAATGTTGCCTGCAACTTGTCCTCTTTTCGGATTTGAGGTCGATATTTTCATGTTGTGTTGGTATAAAATATGGATGGGGGGCTATTTGTGGTGACTAACAGATATAGAAGCTGCTTATGGTTGAACCAGCTAGATTACCTTTTTATTGGTCTCCCTTAATAAAGAGGTTTCTTACCCCAAATAGCGTTTTGGAATGCTGCTTGAAGGTTACATAAATCTGCTCAGAGGCTTGTTTCTTTTGTTCACTAGGTTTGCATCATTTTCTGGTGTATGCTGACGAAGAAATCGATATCTTCTTTCGTCCATTAATTATTTTTGGGGTATATTTGGATTAATGACTAACTTTCTATATGCGTTAATCTGCTGTTGTTATTCCTATCTGTTTGCACATTTTCGGCCTTTATAACAATATGTACTTGTATTTTACTTGTCTTATGCAGTGTTGCAATCTGAGATGGATTTTTCTGAGTCCACAAAAGTTGTGTACAATAGGATCCAGAAGATAGAGCCTGAAAATGTGTCCAAGATTATCGGGTATCTTCTGCTGCAAGACCATGGCGAGCGTGACATGATCCGACTGGCTTTCAGCCCTGATAATTTGATCCAGTCTTTGATTAACAAAGCGAAAGCTGAGCTCGGGTTATGCAAACCGGCAGTGTCTGCTTCAATCTCACCTCAGGTGAACCAAGTTCCTGTTTCCGACTTACCTTTACAATTCACTCCATACAGTCCACGACCAGTTTCATCTCCCACAACCATCGGAGCAGCAAATCCATACAGGGAACTGTCTGGTGATCAGCAACCACTGCAAGCCATAGAGTTTGTTCCACCAGGGTACTCAGATTCAGCGATTGAAGATTATCGCCTCCAAAATCAAATGCAGTTTCTGCCTGAGTTTTCAAGCAATTACTGTTATCATGAACCTGCATTGAGTGTGAGAACCAGTCGAAGGTCTCCAAGCTTGCCTGAATTTCCCCTTAAGGTATGCCATTACTTCAATAAGGGCTTCTGTAAGCATGGAAACAACTGCAGGTACTTCCATGGCCATCCCATGCCAGAAAGCTTTTCACAGTTTTGCAGCCAAAACTCAAATGAGCTTTCAAACGATGATCACGTTGTCTCCCCTGGCTCCCTTGAAAAGCTAGAGATTGAAATAATTGAGCTTTTGAAATCTAGAAGAGGGTTCCCAATATCAATTGCCTCTTTGCCGATGATGTACTACGAGAAATATGGGAGAACTCTTCAGGCCGAGGGATACCTCACTGAGAGCCAGAGACATGGTAAAGCTGGCTACAGCCTGACAAAGCTTCTTGCTCGATTGAAGAACAGCATTCGCCTTATTGACAGGTAACTCTTTGTTAATTGCTAAAGTTTTTTCTTACGTCATTTTTTTTGCTTGCTAGAAGTGCTTGACTCGAGTTGTTCTGCAGGCCTCACGGACAGCACTCAGTTATATTGGCAGAAGATATCCCAAAATACTTAGAGTATGCTGGTGAGAAAACAGAACCTGGTGGGATTATTGCTGGCTCTCGACAGATATATCTGACCTTTCCAGCCGAGAGTAATTTCACGGAGCAAGATGTTTCCAACTACTTCAAGTAAGGACACCAATGAAATTTCCCTCTCAATTTCTTAACTGTTCATTTGTATTTGCTTATACTTTGAATATTGGTTTACAAACTTCTGGTTGATTTTTAAGTTTATCTGTATTCTGTAGCAAATATGGGCCAGTTCAAGATGTACGCATCCCGTGTCAACAGAAGAGGATGTTTGGTTTTGTCACCTTTGTTTATGCAGAGACGGTGAGGCATATTTTGTCAAAAGGGAATCCTCATTTTGTATGCGGGGCTCGTGTGCTGGTGAAACCTTACAGGGAAAAGTCTAGGCTTGTTGACAGGTAAAACATTTTTATTCGTTCAAAGTCAAAGTGATTGTCATTTTTGTTGTGCTTAATTATATTTTACTCAAACCAAAGTGGTTATTTTCGTCTGTATTTAGAAACCAATGAACATCTCTGTGCCTTATTTCTGCTCACAGTTACAATTATGTTTATGCAAGTCTTGACGTTGTTGTGGTCTGCATTGAACTTGGCCTCTGATTTTGTTATTTTTTTCCTTTATAGCGTGACTTATGCATCGTATTGTATAAGACGCTTCTTCTTCATATACATTTTTCTACAGGTGGGAGCCGGGTGCTAGTTGTAGTTGGTTTCCATTAAGTGTGTCTGAACATTTCCAGCACAGTTTCTCTTACTTTATGAATTATTTATCAGCATTCTTAGCTTTCAAACTTATCTATACACCTTTCGCTTCATTTCTCTCCTAACTCAAAGCAAATATAGCTTTTGTTCTCTAAAAGCATAAATTATGTTCACTAAAATTAGTTAATACTAATTCATACCCTTAATTTCTTGTAATAGTCAACATCGTAGGTTTGGCCAGCTGGTACTTCTCCCTCGTAGCAAGTTGAAACTGCTTGCCTCCATTTTATACTAGTCTGCTTTCGAAAATTGTTTTTCTTTTTCTTTTTTCCCTCAATTGCAGCCTAGCTTGTAATGCTTGATTAACGGTTTCTGAAGTATCTGCTTATGTGTTCCATGTCTTCTCCCCTATGGTTTTCTACTAGTGTTTAAACTTCTGAAGTTTATGTCACATGTGCAGGAAGTTTTCGGAGAAGATGCAGCACTCCACGTGCTACAATTCACATTTCATGGATGGTGATTCAGAGCTTCACCCAAGTAAGCAAATTCTTCAGATAATTGCAGTAAGTGTCTATTTTAACCTTTTTGGTTTTTGAAAGCACGTCTTAACTAATAGAATCTATGTTGTGCTTAATATAGTGCCCAGAGTTTGTGATAGCGCAAGATTTCTAAGGAAGCAGTTCATAGAGGAAAATGAGCAAGCACTCGAACTTGAGAGAAGGCGCCTCTCGGAGATGCATTTAGCAGCTAAGCCCTTATCCCATCATTTCTATTATGGCTACTCGATGGATGAGCTTAAGCATCCAGAAGGTATATTAAATGCAACTTTTCAATTTATGATTTGTCTTTGCCTAGCTTATTTCTTGTTTTTTTTTTTCGCCCATTTCCGAGCTAATATTCTTCCGGGATATGTCATTGTAGCCCATGCAGAGCAAGTGGAATTCCCATCCTCAAAGGATTTTAATTATTTTCTGGATGTTTTGAACAATGGTTCCACCAGTGAGGACAAAATAAGGCACATTAATACTAATTACAGTGATCAGGATAGGTATACACACCGTTGCTTGTTCGCGTTGAACTTGTAATACTTTAACCAATTTCTTGTTCATCTCGGTTATTTTCTTAACATTCTCTTCTTTGTTTACGCTTGCCATGCAGCGGTCAAGGAATTAACCTTCCAGAGAGCCCATTCGCAACTCAAATGGCGAGTGGCATATCAACAGTTATATAGGGGATTCAAACAAACAGTAAATTATAGAGAGGTAGAGCACCGGATTCCTAGACTAAGACTAATTCGTGGTTTCGATACAGCAGGAGAGGCCTTCATATTCTTCTATTTTCATTATACTTTTACCTCAATTTCATCGGTCTGTCAGCTAAGTAGAGAGAGTTCATACCAACTGAAGAAGAAGAGAGAGACACAGTAGACAAGTTATGTTCTTCCCCAATGTTACACCGGGGCGAAGGAGATCGCAGAGAAGAAAAGACATAAAAGCTAATATGTGACAGGTTTTTTAAGCCTTTTTTTTCTCTTTTTCTTCTTTGTTTTAATATAATCACAGCGGGGAAGAGATGGGTTTTTAGAAGTGACTGAGATATAGTTTGGTTTAGTTGAAGAAGAAGAAGAAAGTAAGTAGTAGTAAAAATATGCAGGTGTGTGCAGAGTAAAGAAGAAAAGGTGTAGAGATCTCTGCGACATAAACAAATTCTAATAATTTATACAAAGTTTCTATTTACCTTAGTAAATATGTTTCAAAATTCCATGCACTATATGGATGATGAGAATTATACATCTCGAATTTTTCTACAGTGCTGTTAACCGCACTTTTAAAATGCGGATATGTTGTCAATATTATTGATACTTCATAGTTAACTGCACTATAGAAAAACTATACATATCGTTGATATTATGATACTTTATTTTATTTTGGACTGAAGGGTAGGCCATATTTTGGTCCACCAACCTTGTACTCATAATTCATTCTCTTCCCATGATTAGGGGAATCAAAAGGTGGCATAATTAAATTATGGTAATTATGCGTAGTGGTTCTTGCATCATTTTGTTTTTCCTGCAATTGGTATAACTTTTCTTTCAGAAGAAACATCTTTGTCTTGGTTTAGTTGTTATAAAGCAATGGAATTTATTGGGAGATTAAGCTTTTGTTAATGATCATTATTTTAATGAGTGATTAGGGTTTTGAAATTGCATGTCCTAAAAGTTGAGGGGATGTGATAGGAGGATTTTGAGGCTGGTGGTTGATAAATATGCAATGGCACCTTTCTCTTTCTTTCTGGCTTGAAGACAGAAATGGGACCTGGTTTTGATTTGTTTGATATTGTAGGACCCTGTAATCATATGACCCTTCAATGTTACGCTAGGGTACCAAAAGATATTGAGCTGTAAATTTGATATTTTATGTGAAGTCATGTAATATACAGCTAATCTTCATAAATCTCTAAAGTCCAAAATTGCTTAAAAATCCCAAGTGAAACAAAATTTCAAGGCTGTGAAAAGCTGTGTAGTCGTAACTTGCAAGTGATACTATAGGTTTATCACCTGCTTTTCACACTGAAAATGAGCGATTTTCTATGATGCTCCAGAGTATTAGATACTACAAGCTTTTTAGTTGTTAAATCTTTGGTTAGAAACACAAAAGTTAATATCTAATGGTTAAAAAGCTTGGAGTATCTTATAGTTTAGAGCACTCTAGAATGGGTAAATTCGAAAATCGAATTTTCCTCTACGAGGCGTGTGTAACTGAAATAGAGTGTTCACCGTTGTAATTGAGGTTCCGTTTTGTACCCAAATGCCCCTTCCACGAATATTCCTCGATCACGAAATCTGTCATCTCTTTTCATGTAGTACTTGTCACGCGATGCCTACTCTAGGAAAATGAGGATATAACACAGTTCCAAAACAGATTCTCTCGACAATAAAAATGTTGCTACCTTGGCACATTAAATTTCAAGGGTGGTCCATGATGTAAACCCAAGACAAATTAGGTTTTTTTAGTGGCACTGATTATTTTGTCACATGATTGTGCTTGCTTATGGGGAAACATTGACATTGAAACTATCAGATTTGATGAAACGGAGAATTTGTTACTCAACAAGAAAGCAGTCACGGCACTCCGTCTCCGCTGTTTACTCTCCATGGATTCTGCTCTGTTTTTCGTCTTGTACTTTGTTCTTCTTCCAAAGCTCTCTGTCAATTGGGACAGTCGAGCAGAAAATTGTGCACACCGATGGTCCAACGTTTAACCTTAAAAAACATAAGTTGCTTTATCTTGTTTTTTACTCAACGGGCGAGATGATTCGAAATTAGAATCTCTTCTAATATCGAGAAGTTAACGTGTTGAACATATAACCACAGATATAAAATTTGTCAATCTGCGCAACAAATCGTTTTGATTTTCACAACGTTGAAAAAACAAGAAAACTACCGTAGAGTAGAAATTAGCAAGTGGGGCTTTTCTAAAGTACTTTCATGCAATGGGGGTGCCACTGTTTGAAATTTTTAATAAATGATAGAAGTGTGATTAACTTGAAATACTGTCAATACTCTTTATCATATATGGTTTTGCAACACTTAAGTAGCACAATCATTACATTGATATAGATCATACATCATTAGGCAATTACTTGGTGCTAGGGCAAACTTTGAATTCAACAAAGGCGCGGTCAGATCTATTTGCGAAGATGAAAGTGTGGACGGTCATAAATAGTAAAGCCGACAACATAAGTTGTACAGGGATCCATAGAAGTTGAAGTTCTTAGAACAGCAAACTACCCCAAGCAGCGATGAAAAGAAAGCCACCGAAAAGAGCCAATTTCAAGTACTTTTTATTCTCAAGTAATGCCACAGTATAATACCTGCAAAATCACATTATTTCAACGTTGTGAATGAGAATACAGTGCAAGCTGTTAAAATTGAAGTATTTGCTGAATAGTTTTCTTATTCCAATATATTCATTCATACAAAGATACAAGATTTATACAATCAGATGCAGCCTATTCTAGGTAACCAATCTATAATTACAAGTTGATTACAATCAGATCCTATTATAGCTCTTATCAGATCGTTGACCATTTACAATCCCTACGATCATGTTAACCAAATATACTTTCCTTTAACACTCCCCCTCAAGTTGGAGCGTGGATGTCAAGAACGCCTAACTTGCAGAGAAGCAAATGGAAAGCAGGTGATCGCAGTGGCTTAGTAAACATGTCAGCCACTTGTTCTCCAGTGTGTATATAGGCTGTCTTGATTTCTCCTCTTTGGATCCTCTCACGAATGGTGTGGCAATCAAGCTCAATGTGTTTGGTGCGCTCGTGGAACACAGGATTCACTGCAATGTGTAACGCAGCTTGATTATCACAAAACAGCTTCGCCGGATTAGGATGGATTATTTGCAAATCCTTCAACAGGTATCTCAACCACGTGAGTTCACAAGTTGCTGCAGCCATGGAACGGTACTCTGCTTCGGCAGATGATCGTGCTACCGTGACCTGTTTCTTGCTCTTCCAAGATATGAGTGAGTTGCCCAGAAAAATGCAATAACCTGTAACTGAACGGCGAGTAATCGGACAACGTGCCCAATCCGCATCACAATATCCAGTCAAATTCAGCTTACTTTGGGAAGAGAACAACAAACCTTGTCCAGGAGCATTTTTAAGATATCGAAGAAGTCTATGTGCTGCGTCCAGATGATGTCGCCTAGGTTCCTGCATGAATTGACTCAGGGTGTTGACGGCATATGTGATCTCCGGCCTTGTGATTGTCAAGTATATTAATTTCCCAACCATTCGTCGGTATTGCGTAGGATCTTTGAGAAGATCACTACCAGTGGGTAGTAGCACTAAGTCAGGTTCCATTGGAACCTTTGATGGCTTCGCACCAAGTAAACCTGCCTCTTCCAATATGTCAAGTGTGTACTTGCGCTGGCTGATGGCAATGCCAGCTTTGGACCGTGCAACTTCAACACCGAGAAAGTACTTTAGGGGTCCAAGATCTTTAATTCGGAAGCAACGGCTAAGAAACTGCTTGAGATCATTGATTGCTCCATCATTATTTCCTGTAATAACCATGTCGTCAACATATAATAAAACAATGGTGATGGAGCTGCCATAGACCTTAGTAAACAGAGAATAATCAGCCCGAGATTGTATGAATCCAATGTCATGGATGGCAGAGGAAAATTTCTGAAACCAACTGCGGGACGCTTGCTTAAGTCCGTACAAGGATTTTTTGAGTCGACATACAACACGCTCCCCCTGTCGACGATAACCAGGAGGAGGCAACATGTACACTTCTTCGTGGAGTTCACCATGAAGGAAGGCGTTTTGCACATCCATCTGATGGAGGGGCCAATGGCGAACCGCAGCAACAGTCAACAAGCATCGCACAGTGATCAGCTTAGCAACGGGAGCGAAAGTTTCCTTGTAATCGATCCCTTCGCGTTGAGTGAAACCTTTGGCAACGAGGCGGGCTTTGTACCGCTCAATTGTACCGTCCGAATGGTATTTGATTTTGAAAACCCACTTGCATCCAATAGCACGATGGCCGGCAGGCAAGGGTACCATGCTCCATGTCTGATTTTCTTCGAGAGCTCGGAGTTCATTGTTCATGGCAGCGACCCATTGGGGGTCATGACGGGCTTGATCATATGATGTGGGTTCCATCTGATGAGAAACATTATGGACGAAAGACTGATGAGCAGAAGATAATGAGGCATAAGAGACATACCGGTGGAGAGGATGTCGGGTGCTGGACACGGAGGAAGAGGCGATGCCAGGCGCAAGCAGAGCAGCATGATGGGCCACATAATCGTTGAGATAAGCAGGTGGTCGGGTCAGGCGGGAAGATTGGCGAATGGGAGGTTGTGAGGACGGTGCAGGCGGAGGGGTAGGTAAGGCGAGGGAGTGGGTGGCAGGAGTGGGTGAGATCGGAGTGGTCTCTGGTGAAGGTGGAGGAGATGAGGGGGTGTGGGTATTGAGGTCGGGAACTGGAGAGGGTAAAGTGGGAGTTGGGGTAGTGGTGGGGTTCAAGTCATCTGGGTTTGGGCCAGGATGGTGTGGGCCGTGAGAGGGTAAGGAATCAGGAGGAATAAGGGGAAGAACAAGAGAGTCATCCTCATGTTCAGGTGGTGAGTGGGCAAAAGGAAAAATTGTCTCATGGAAGTGAACATCACGGGAAGTGGAGATTGTATGCGTTTCGAGGTCGTAAACACGGTAACCTTTCTGACCAAGGGGATATCCAAGAAAAAGACAACGGCGAGCACGAGAGTCAAACTTGTGGTTTGGGTGAAGGTTGGTGACATAACAAAGACATCCGAACACACGGAGGTGAGAATAAGTGGGCAAGTGACCATGTAAAAATGCGTAGGGAGTTTTATGGGATAATAAGGGTGTGGGAATGCGGTTGATAAGGTAGCATGCGGTTTGGACACTATCCCCCCAAAATTTTAATGGTAAATTGGCTTGGAAACGGAGTGCGCGCCCAATGTTCAAAAGATGTCGATGTTTACGCTCGACAACCCCGTTTTGTTGAGGGGTGTGAACGCATGAATGCTGAAAAATGGTGCCATGGGTGTCTAAAAAAGAACGCATGGAGAGGAACTCTCCACCATTGTCTGCGCGTAAAACTTTGATGGTTTTGTGGAATTGAGTTTTGACCCAAGAAAAAAATGATTTCAATAGTGATTGTGTATCGGATTTGAAACGCATAAGATGCACCCATGTAAAACGAGTAAAATCATCCACGATGGTGAGAAAATAACGTGCCCCAGAATGTGTGGGAACTTTGTGAGGCCCCCAAATGTCACAATGAATTAAGTCAAAAGGTGCGGTGGATTGAATTGAACTAGAAGCAAAAGACAATCGAGTTTGTTTTGCCAAAGGGCAAACTTCACAAACATGTTTGGAATCAAACATTATTTCGGGATTTGTTTTTGACAAAAAATGTAAAGGGTGTGTAGATGGGTGGCCCAAGCGTTGATGCCATAGACTGGTGGTGCGGCTAACATGGTTGGTAAGATGGGGATTTTGGCTTGGCGTAAGGTAATAGAGCCCATTAAATTGCTTGCCCAGGCCAATCGTCCTCTTCGTATCCATGTCCTGCACAACACAAAAATCCGGAAAGAATATTACGATACATTGTAGAGCCCGTGTGAGTTTACTCACAGACAATAAATTGACACGAAATTTTGGAACATGGAGAACGCCATCAAGTAATAACTTATGTGACAATTGTACGGATCCAATGCTCTTAATATCTGCCGTGCCCCCATTTGGTAATCCCACAAAATCATTTTCAGCAGCAATCTGTTTATGTGTTAATGGTGAATGTGATATGTGATCAGATGCCCCGCTGTCTATAATCCAGTAAAGAGTTGAATGCAAGTCATGTTCCGTCATATTACATGTGGGTGTAACAATACCTGTTGCATTCGCAAGTGGTGTAATTTTACCGTTTCCAGAGCGAAGCAAGGCAAGAAGTTGATGGTACTCTTCGGTTGTGAATGTTGGGCCGTGGGAAGATGTGGCTTTGGTTGCTTCTGGATGGATGGCGTGTGATGTAGATGTTTCGACATTGTGGGCTGTCGGATTTGGGCGTTTGTTTCTGGGCAGCACATGCTTCCCATGCCACTTATGACCTTCGGGGAACCCGATAAGGAAATAACACCGCTCTACGGAATGCGAGCCGTCACAGTAGCTGCATTTGGATGCTTTCCGTGAACTGGAGCTACCAGGTACAGACCCTCCTTTTGGTGTTGTGGACCGATGTGTTTGCATCGCATGGGCAGCAGGTTCACGATGATTAGCCACATCCATTTGGCGTTCGTGTTGCAGAACCAACCCGTGGACACGTCGCGTATCAGGAAGCGGATTCATCATTAAGATAGAACCTCGTATGGTGGAGTAAGTCTCGTTCAAGCCCATTAAAAATTGCATGACCTTCTCTTTCTCCTCCCTTGCTACACGAGTCTTGGATCCCTCACAATCGCAGGTAATTGGTTCATAATACGAAGCCAGTTCATCCCAAAGAGCCTTTAACTGGGTGTAATAGTCTGAAATAGATAGTTGTCCTTGTCGGTGTTCGACGATTTCCTGTCGGATTTGGTAGATCCTGGAATCGTTTCCTTGTGAGAATCGATCCTCAAGATCCTTCCACGCTGCAGATGCAGATTTGCAGTAAAGTATGCTGCGTGCGATGTTGCCTTGCACAGATTGCCAAATCCATGACAAGACCATGTCATTGCATCTCTGCCAAATTGAAAACTTGGCGTCGGTAATTGCTGGGCACTTGATTGATCCATCAATGAACCCAAGTTTGTTCTTGGCACTGAGAGCGATGCGCATGGAGCGGCTCCACTGTCCGTAGTTGTGTCCGTCGAGGAGTTGTGAAACCAAGACGAGACTTGGTGAATCTGAGTGGTGTAGAGTGAGAGGGTCAAATGCATGTGACACCATCTCTGCTGGTTTTTCATCGCCCATGTTGGTTATGTGTGTTGGAAAAAATTTGGGTTGTGTTTGTAGCGGAAGTCGAATGGACGCCTAGAGTCACCAGGATCGGTGCTCTGATGCCATGTTAAAATTGAAGTATTTGCTGAATAGTTTTCTTATTCCAATATATTCATTCATACAAAGATACAAGATTTATACAATCAGATGCAGCCTATTCTAGGTAACCAATCTATAATTACAAGTTGATTACAATCAGATCCTATTATAGCTCTTATCAGATCGTTGACCATTTACAATCCCTACGATCATGTTAACCAAATATACTTTCCTTTAACACAAGCAATTAGATAAAAAAGAAGAAGTGCAGAGGCGTGGAACTTACGTCCCGCAGAATGCGAGTATTCCAGCAGCCAAAAGGCCTCCAAACTGCAAAACAAAGATGAAATTAGCATATGTACTCACATACGAATTCGCAGACGAGCAACTGATTAACAAACATCACAAAACTTGAAATTGAGCAAACACCACACATGCCCGAATGTTAAGATTCAGACCCTCAGATGATGGTTTGAATTCAACTCAAAGTAAATTGATAAAGTTCTAAACTTTTTAACTCACAAGGGTGGGGTGTTTCGCGATGGGGGCAGCAAGCAGAGCTGCTGTGTGAACCAAATGGTACAGAGACGCCGTCAGCCAAACCTAACCCATTATTTGCAACATAATCAAATCACAGAAAATTCAAAAATTGAACATAAAACCATGAAAAATATGAGTTAAAATCAAATGGGAAATAAAGTATGAACCTCTTTGCAAGTTGGGTCTTTGGGTTTTGAAGCCAAGGGCGCCATATGTACCCAACCCAATAGCTGCAATTCCTGTTTTTTCCATAAAATTCACAAATTGGGTTTTCTCAGATTTGACAGAAATAACAAAAAGGAGACTGAATTTATACAAATTAATGTATATACATGCGAATAAATGTTGTGATTTCATGGAGACTGTGAATCCCAAAAAACAGCAAGGATTAAAACTTTTCGAGTGTGGGATAGTAAAAGCGTAAATTAGAAATACCAGAGAGCGCCGCTGCTTTATGCCACAGCTGAAGATCCATTGTTGTTGCTTCTCTTGCTTCTGTTTCAGTGCCTCTCTCACTGAAATGTAGTTTGGTTTAGTTGAAGAAGAAGAAGAAAGTAAGTAGTGGTAAAAATATGCAGGTGTGTGCAGAGTAAAGAAGAAAAGGTGTAGAGATCTCTGCGACATAAACAAATTCTAATAATTTATACAAAGTTTCTATTTACCTTAGTAAATATGTTTCAAAATTCCATGCACTATGTGGATGATGAGATTTATACATCTAGAATTTTTCTACAGTGCTGTTAACCGCACTTTTAAAATGCGGATATGTTGTCAATATTGTTGATACTTCAATCTTACAAGATAGTTAACCGTATTAAAAAAAATTATACATATCATTCATATTATGATACCTTATTTTATTTTGGACGGAAGGGTAGGCCATATTTTGGTCCACCAACCTTGTATTCATAATTCATTCTCTTCCCATGATTAGGGGAATCAAAAGGTGGCATAATTAAATTATGGTAATTATGCGTAGTGGTTCTTGCATCATTTTGTTTTTCCTGCAATTAGTATAACTTTTCTTTCAGAAGAAACAACTTTGTCTTGGTTTAGTTGTTATAAAGCAATGGAATTTATTGGGAGATTAAGCTTTTGTTAATGATCATTATTTTAATGAGTGATTAGGGTTTTGAAATTGCATGTCCTAAAAGTTGAGGGGATGTGATGGGAGGATTTCGAGGCTGGTGGTTGATAAATATGCAATGGCACCTTTCTCTTTCTTTCTGGCTTGAAGACAGAAATGGGACCTGGTTTTGATTTGTTTGATATTGTAGGACCCTGTAATCATATGACCCTTCAATGTTAAGCTAGGGTACCAAAAGATATTGAGCTGTAAATTTGATATTTTATGTGAAGTTTCGTAACATACAGCTAATCTTGGTAAATCTCTGAAGTCCAAAATTGCTTAATCCAAAGTGAAACAAAATTTCAAGGCTGTGAAAAGTTGTGTAGTTGTAACTTGCAAGTGATACTATAGGTTTATCACCTCCTTTTTATGCGATTTTCTATGGTGTTTCGGAATATTAGATACTTCAGGCTTTTTAGTTGTTAGATCTTTGGTTAGAAACACAAAAGTCAATATCTAATGGTTAAAAAGCTTGAAGTATCTTATAATTTAGAGCACTCTAGAATGGGTAAATTCTAAAATCGAATTTTCCTCGACAAAGCGCGTGTAACTCAAATGGAGTGTTCACCACTGCAATTGAGGTTCCATTCTGTACCCAAATGCCCCTTCCACGAATATTCCTCAGTCACGAAATCAGTCCTCTCTTTTCATGTAGTACTTGTCATGCGATGCCTACTCTAAGAAAATGAGGATACAACACAGTCGCAAAACAGATTCTCTCGACAATAAAGATGTTGCTGCCTTGGCACATTAAATTTCAAGGGTGGTCCATGATGTAAGCCCAAGACAAATTAGGTTTTTTAGGTGGCACTGATTATTTTGTCACAAGATTGTGCTTGTTTATGGGGAAACATCGACATTGAAGCTATCAGATTTGATGAAACGGAGAATTTGTTACTCAACAAGAAAGCAGTCACGGCACTCCGTCTCCGCTGTTTACTGTCCATGGATTCTGCTCTGTCTTTCGTCTTGTACTTTGTTCTTCTTCCAAAGCTCTCTGTCAATTGGGACAGTCGAGCAGAAAATTGTGCACACCGATGGTCCAACGTTTAACCTTAAAAAACATAAGGTGCTTTGTCTTGTTTTTTACTCAACGAGCGAGATGATTCGAAATTAGAATCTCTTCTAATATCGAGAAGTCAACGTGTTGAACATATATCCATAAATATAAAATTTGTCAATTTGCGCAACAAATTGTTTTGATTTTCACAACGTTGAAAAAACAAGAAGACTACAGTTGAGTAAAAATTAGCAAGTGGGGCTTTTCTGAAGTACTTTTATGCAATGGGGGTGCCACTATTTGAAAATTGTAATAAATGATAGTGTGTGATTGACTTGAAATACTGTCAATATTTTTTTATCATAAATGGTTTTGTAACACTGAAGTAGCACAATCAATACATTGATATACATCGTACATCATTAGACAATTATTTGGTGCTAGGGCAACTTAGAAATTCAACAAAGGCGCAGTCGGATCTATTTGAGCAGATGAAAGTGTGGACGGTCATAAATAGTGAAGCCGACAACATAAGTTGTACAGGGATCCATAGAAGTTGAAGTTCTTAGAACAGCAAGCTACCCCAAGCAGCGATGAAAGCAAAGCCACCGAAAGGAGCCAATGTCGAGTAGTTTCTATCCTCAAGTAATGCCACAGTATAACACCTGCAAAATCACATTATTTCAATCAGTATTAACTTCTGAGAATGAGAATACAGTGCAAGCACTGCCATGAATATTGTTTCCTCGGAGAAAAGCAACCGGCAAAAGTCCCCTGGAAAGATGCATAGACTTCGCACTCAAGGCAAAACCCTCAACGTGCAGTTTGCCAAATGCCAAGCCTTAAGTGACTAGCAAACGAGGATTTCTTGAGTCCAGAAACGAAATATTGACACCCTGACCCTACAAATTGCTACCGTTGCAATATGCACGTACGTAATGTCACTGTGCCAATTAACCGTTTGATACATTTTTTCCATCTAGAACCCCCATTACTCATAGAGTATAGGATTATGCCATGCCGACAAACAAAAACGATTCTCATTCTTGCATATATCATACATAAAGATGTCCCTCTTTGGAAAAATAAAATACATAAAGCCAACTGCATTTGTAGTTATATTAATGGCTAGTTCCGTGACTTCAATTGCATCTTAACAAATAACAAGGCAAGTGATTTTACTCGAATTTCAGATTCAACTAGCTTCATTTAGCAAAGAAACTTTGAAATGCGAATGAATCTTTTAACACGAAAAACATAGTGTTTCAGTATAAACTTAACCAAGCAATTAGATAAAAAAAAGAAGTGCAGAGGCGTGGAACTTACGTCCCGGAGAATGCGAGTATTCCAGTAGTCAAAAGGCATCCAAACTGCAAAACAAAGATGAAATTAGCATATGTACTCACATACGAATTCGCAGACGAGCAACAGATTAACAAACATCACAAAACTTGAAATTGAGCAAACACCACACATGCCCGAATGTTAAGATTCAGACCCGCAGATGATGGTTTGAATTCAACTCAAAGTAAATTGATAAAGTTCTAAACTTTTTAACTCACAATGGTGGGGTGTTTCGTGATGGGGGCAGCAAGCAGAGCTGCTGTGTGAACCAAATGGTACAGAGACGCCGTCTGCCAAACCTAACCCATTATTTGCAACATAATCAAATCACAGAAATTTCAAAAATTGAACATAAAACCATGAAAAATATGAGTTAAAATCAAATGGGAAATAAAGTACGAACCTCTTTGTAAGTTGGGTTTTGGGGTTTGAAGCCATGGGCGCCATATGTGCCCAACCCAAGAGCTGCCATTCCTGTTATTCCATAAAATTCACAAATTGGGTTTTCTCAGATTTGACAGAAATAACAAAAAGGAGACTGAATTTATACAAATTAATATATATACATGCGAATAAATATTGCGATTTCATGGAGACTGTGAATCCCAAAAAACAGCAAAGATTAAAACTTTTCAAGTGTGAAATTGTAAAAGCGTAAATTTAGAAATACCAGAGAACGCGGCTACTTTATGCCACAGCCGAGGATCCATCGTTGTTTCTTCTCTTGCTTCTGTTTCAGAGCCTCTCTCACTTTCTGGTGTATGGGGATTGGCGGTGGTTCTGGAAACTGGAAAGAGGCTGGCCGGTTAGAATCTTTGTTCCTAAAACGGCGTCGTATACAACTTTTTTTGCCCTTGCAGTAATTGTGAAATTAGAAGTTCAGAAATGGCAATGATTTTCGAACTCTTGTTTTTTTATTCCTTCTTAAGGCCCTTCATTTATTTCTATCTTGTAACTTTATTTAATCAATCTGATGACGAGAAATATAGAGATGAAATCAGTACAGAAAAACTCGAGTGACAAAATCAACTCCCCCTGAACACTTGGATGAGTGCGGGACATCTTTTGATGTAAAGCTTCATCCTCTCTCACCACTTGAGCTAACTCCGAGCGCTCGAAAACAAACAAAATTTAAAGTCTGTTATCGACATGCTAATTTTTTCTCCGACTATATGGTCGGAAAAGCGAAAACAACGAAGCAACCACCATCCCAGACCGAGATTTGCCAGCCTTGTCATCCTGCAAACTGAAAGAGCACTAAAAGGAGCTCAGTCCGAAGTTGAAACCCTATCAGCAATATTGTTTAAGCGTTAAAAAAAAAAAAAAAAAAATTTAAACACAGAAAATATGATAAGATAAATGCAACAGATTGGCAAGAAAATACAGATTAAAAGTAAAAAATTGCGCCAATTAAATAACTGTTGATTTCCCAATCTGTCCTGAATAAGGTGTTACAACTCTCCTGGATAGTCACAACTATGAGGGTAATTATGTAAAACAAAGCAGTAATTAGACTCTGAAACTGTTGTCACAAGTTTTACTGGGTAAAACATAGCACCCCGTAAAATCATTTGGGGCCTTATGTTTCTCTGGCCACTTGCCAAAGGGTGACATATTTGTACAGTTAAACCTACATGTTGTCTAAAGAATGCTAGAACGTAACAACTCCCGAGCAACTCTTGCTTCCCTGCTTTTAGCATGTCGCGCTTAAGCCTCAGGTTCCACCGCAGCATGAAGAAGATCGTCGGGAGTTGCAGCTGGATCAAGATCCCAGCACTTACCCGGCAGCTTACTCTCTTCTCCCATGAGTAGCCATGATGGCACCTGGTGTGAGAAGCGTAGCATCTCTCGTTTTGGAATCCATTGAATGGCTGCTTTGTCTGTATTGCTTTGGTATACAGTCTTGAATCCAGACAGTTTCACAAGGGGGGATACACAGACACCAAGATCTTCGGAGTAATCATCAAGAATTTCCACCATTACGTACTGGTGCCTCACTTCATCTGGAGTTGATCTGTCCCAATTTTTTGACCAGTTTCGATACATAGCCCAAATGTCTCCGCTTCTGGGGTATATCCGAACACAGCCTCCTCTGCCTGCTTTCTCCCGGCTCAAAACATGAGAGAAAATGTTAACTTGCTCAATGACATCAAGATTCCGTGCCCTAAAATTTCCACAGGATTTGGTAAACCCACAATCTAGCCAGTTCACGAACCCGAATTCACTATCAGTTTTAGAGTTCAAGTAAGTAATGACTAACTTGAATGGTTTTACAGAAACCACTTCACGAATCAGGCAGTACAGGCGAGGCATACCATCTTCTTCATCATACAAAGCCCAAATTTGCTTTGGCTTGAAAGATTCTTCTGACCTATCTTTATCAAAATCATGGAAGTCGGGGTCAGGGACAGTTATGCAGAGAGGCTCAGTATTCTTTATCTCTAATTTATGTTCTTGTGCAACTTCTGGTTGACGCACTGCAGCCTCTCTTTTTGTGTTCTTTGCAGCAACAGCAGCAGCTGCCGCTTCTGATGCCAACTTAAACTCGTCTAATTTCTTCAAAATTTCAGTTCTTGCCTTTTCAAGCAACAACCTCTTAGTATCAAAAGCCGGTGCCATGGAGCAACGTCTAATTGGAAGTTCCCCTGAACTAGGAATTTTCTGATCATTTCCAACACTCCCATTTCCATTGGCTAGTTTTGCTTCTAAAGCAGATTTTGATACTTTTTCGTCGAGCCCATTTCTAAAACTCGCTCCCACAGTAAGTTTCCTTTTCTTATCCCGTCCATTGCTCTTAGATTCAGGCGGCTCATTAAAGCTAGCAGGCATGTTCAGCTCCACTTTAGCCACAGCAGTTGTAACAGAACGTTTTCCATTCACTCTTGATTTCACCTTCTCTCTAGCTTTCTTAACATTTCCATTTGACTGATAAACAGTACCAGGGGATGTAGCTGATGACCCATGAGGAGCTGCAACACCAGCAGAGGTTCCAGAATATGAGTTCCACTGAAACGACATGTTTGAAGTATATTCATACCCATGTCCAGAATGCAAACTTGAGACCCCGTTTCCTGGGAAAAAGGTACCGTTGCTTGGAACATACGTAACCCCATCAAATCCATGATTCGCATACCCATTACTAGGCATATACGACCAAGGACAAGGAGTATAAGGAAAAGAACCATTTGCTGGGGCTGCCCCAGATTCCACAGCAATGAAAATACCTCGGCAGTTTTTACATGAAAGTCTTTTGTTCACATACTTACGGAGATACTCATACTGAACCTTGCACGAAGTGCAGACGGTCCAGAAAGTGTCGAGTCTACCATGAGATGCTGATGAACTGGAACAATTGTTGAAACCTGGAACCCCACCAGCGTGAACTGAAGACAAATTGGGCTGATTAACTGCAGCTGCTAAGTGTTTATTTCTCTGAAGATCATACAATCTTTTCTTAGCAGTGTCGGACAACACAGTAACTGCTTCAGAAACAAGTTTGAAAGCCCCATCAGCTCCCACACATTTGTTCTTATCAGGGTGGAGCAGCACAGCCATCTTTTTGTACTGCTTCTTCACTGCATATTTACTTGCAGAAGGCTTCAGTCCAAGAATTTTATAATGATCCATTTCACCATAATATTTTGCCTCAGACGCAACATAAACATCAAATGTGGCCAGCATATGAGATATGCCCTCCAGTTCCGGGTACAGTGATTTAGCTTTTACTGCATAAGTGATGGCACCTGCAAAATCTTTCTCAAAAAATCGCTTCTCAGCGATCTCTTTCGCTTTAAGAGCCTCCTCTATGTTAACTTCCATGTAGGAGTAGAGATCACTTGAAAACCAAAAATCTCGAAACAAAATCTACAACCAACCCAATGTGCTTAACTGTAGAAATAGCTGAATTCTCATATGTAACCACATTTTCATTTCTGCAAAGATAAAATCAAGAATCTTTATGAGTATCAAACTTCAATTTTCTACTTAGCACTGTGACTGGCTAAGCCATTCAAATTTCTCTAATGAAGACATTAATACCCATAAATGCCGAAATCATTTACCAGGCTAAAACAAAATTCAATTTCAAATCTCAACCAAGAAGCAATGCTAATCAATTCAAAATTAATCCAATCACCAAAACGGCTTATAATTATCAGATTAACTCTATTTTACAGCGAAAAATTACGATCCATGCAACATAAATGCGAAGAAAATCGAGTTTAATTTTCCATCATTTTCCTCAGTTTTTTCTCCGCAGCCAAACACCCTAAACCAGCTATCAAAACAAAAGAATCTAGCTCTTCAAACCCACTAACAAGCATGCAAATCATCTCAATTTTCCAAATCAAGCCCCAAATTCCACTAAATTCCACAGCTTTACAACCATGCACAGAGATCGAAAACCAAAATCCAAAATCCAGAATATTATTAACCCAGATTAAAAATTCAGCACGAAACCAAAGTAAAAAGTAAAAAAATTGACTCACTGAAACTCGAGCTGAATGAAGGTGAAGAAGAAAACCCAGATCGCCACGCGTACTTGGGAGCTCGAGCAAAATCAATCAAGCTCAGCTAATTGCAAATCTCACTGTATCTAAAGCGCAAATCACTGAGAGAGAAACTCATTTTAACAACCCCAAAGTGAAAAGAGGGTTTACCAAACGGTAAAGTTTCTATTTTTAGGGTTTTTGCTGCGAAATCGGGGGGTTGGTTCGGCGGATTTGGTGCTGGCGATGGCCGAGTGCGGCGAGCGACGGCGTGGAATTGGCGATTCCGTCGATATAGGTGTCGGAGATTTGGACAGGATTTATTTTTTGGTAAAAAGTTGGTTTGAATTTTTTTTTAATTTTCAGTGGGAGTAAACAGTGTGTTAATAGTATTTAATGGTGAGGGTTGCTATTCTGCGCTGCCGCGCGTTAACGGCGTTACTTTTTTCCGTTTGGATTAGGGGAGTGTTTGGTAGTGGGCAGAAGAAGTGGACTTTGGATTAAGCTAATTGTTTAATCACTTTATTTGGCTGAGATTTGGTAAGTAGCTTCATTTGATTATTACTAATTAATATGCTAAGGATATCATGTTTTTAGATCATATTTTGTATCACAAATTTTGACGTTAAAATTAAATTTTTATTTTATGATTTAATGAAAAAATTCAACATCAATCGTCTCATCGTGTGGTCTATAAATAATATAACTTAAGTAGTTTGATTTTCTAGAATTATGAATAATCTTACAACAATCATATATGAAAAGGAAATTGTTATCGACTCTCCAAAAATCTAATTGTACACTCCAAACTTTCTATATTTAGTAAGACAAATACTTTTATGAGAATTGCATAATTAGATTTTTAGAGTGTTAATAATAGTTATCTTTGAAAATTGTGCAAAATTATCCAATTTATGAGATCTTGGGCTTTCCTTTTCCGAAGCCTTATTGGGCTTTTCTCTAGGCCTACTTTGTAGTTCTTTCCTTACCCTTGTTGTTATAATTACTCATAGGCCAAATCAGATAAATGAATCATGTAGTCATAAGGTATTCAGAAGATAGTCCATGTGCTAAAAAAAACTCAAATTTAAATCCCTATGGTGTACTCCGTTAGCAAATTTAGTCCAAAAGTGATTTTTCTGTAAACTATCTGTTAATACATGGGTAAAATTGTACTTTAACGTGTGCACCTTCTTCTTCCTGCATCTCCCCCTACGCAGCCCCCAAACTCACGTCGCGCAACCATGGCGGCCACCGTGTCTCTCCTTTTTCTTGTGCAAAGTGCAGAAGAGGATGAGGAGGTCTCGCCAAAGCTCTCTCTCACTCCAGAACCATGGGTGCCACTCAAACCCCCCTCTCTCTCTCTTCCTCTCAGTCTCTTTGTATGTGTGTCACTAATTTTATATATGTGATAATATGCAGGTACTTACGTGACTCGATGCACAAGCGTCGTGCTACTGGAGGCAAGAAGAAGGCATGGAGGAAGAAAAGAAAGTAATGCTTTCCACCTTCAACCCCATTTCTCTCTCTCCTTTACTCTTTGATTGCTTGTTAATTTTCCTTCATTTTCTATTATTTGCCCTATCTAATATTTTTTTTATTGATTTGTTATGTTGTAATTAGGCGACAGATCTGTTATTAATCGTAAATTGTTTATGGGTTTTTCGTTGTGGATAAAAGGTGAGGTCTCACCGTATCTTCTTTTTCTTGAAATGGTCTCTCCTTTTTCTCTTGCGCAAAGTGAGTTTGGGGGTTGCGTAGGGGAGATGCAGGAAGAAGAAGGTTGTCACATCTCGGCCTAAGTCTTCGTCACATCCCGGACGCGACTCCATCGTAGCACGATATTGTCCGCTTTGGGCCCTGACCACGCCCTCACGGTTTTGTTTCTAGGAACTCACACGAGAACTTCCCAATGAGTTACCCATCATGGAATTACTTTCATGCGAAATCGCTTGACTTCGGAGTTCCGATGAAACCTAAAGCTAGTGAGCTCTCAAAAGATCTCGTGCTAGGTAGAGATGAGAATATACATATAAGGCTTACAAGATTCATTCCCTTGGGCAATGTGGGATCTTACAATCCATCCCCTTTAGGGGCCTAACGTCCCTATCGGCACACTCCCGACCAGGGATTGGCTCTGATACCAAATTGTCACATCCCAGCATGGGCCCCCACCACATCCCCGGCTTGACTCCACCGTAGCACGATATTGTTCTCTTTGGGCCCCGACCATGCCCTCACGGTTTTGTTTCTAGGAACTCACACGAGAACTTCCTATTGGGTCACCCATCCTGGGATTGTTCTTACGCGAACTCGCTTGACTTCGGAGTTCCAATGGAACCCGAAGCCAGTGAGCTCCCAAAAGGTCTCGTGCTAAGTAGAGATGAGAATATACATATAATGTGACATCCTACATCGCCCAGGGAAGTGATCCTTAAATGTATATTCCCATCCCTACCTAGCACGATGCCTTTTGCGAGTTCATTAGCTTCAGGTTCCGTAGGAACTCCGAAGTTAAGCAAGAAGAGGGCTAGAGCAATCCCATGATGGGTGACCCACTGGGAAGTTGCTCGTGAGTTCCCAAAAACAAAATGGTGAGGGAATGGTAAGCCCAAAGCAGACAATATCGTGCTACGGTGGTGGATCAGGCCCGGAAAGTGGTCTCGCTCGGGCCGAGATGTGACATATAAGGCTTACAAGATCCACTCCCCTGGGCGATGTGGGATATTACAAAGGTGAACATGTCAAAATACAATTTTACCCATGTATTAACATATAGTTAACGAAAAAATCACTTTTTGACTAAATTTGCTAACGAATAACACCACAGGGGTTTAAATCCGATTTTTTTTAGCACATGGGCTATCTTCCGAATACCTCATGACCACAGGGATTATTTATCCGATTTGGCCTTACTTATAATTCAAATCACTGAGCACTAAGTATTGTTGTTGACACCGAATGACATATTTACTTAAATGAAATTACAAGTATTTTTCATCACTCTAATAATTTATAAAGAGAAGTGTTAAGAAGATTCTCAAAAGTGTGACCCTTCATTGACTCTCTGTCACCTCATGTTTATGGCAAAATAGTTTATAATGTTGACTCAAAAATTGACGTTAAAATGTGGGGTGACAGAGAGTCCATGAAGATTCATTCTTTGAGAGTCTCCTTAGCATTTCTCTTATGTTATTTATGCAGCTATTCGGGTTTTCCTTTTTCGAAGCCTTATTCTGTTTTTCCAACTTGCTTTCTCGTTATTTTTCCTCGGTTTCAAAGTCTTGTATTATTTTGATTATTGACTACCTTGCATTTACTACAACGTGAGTATTGAAAGTAAAACAAGTATTGATTACACAATAAAATTTGTAATCAAATACCTGAAAAATCAAGAACCATATCAATCACTTTCCAAATACACTTTCTTATGTAAGTAGAAAATGCCTAACCGCATTCCCAAACAAGTATTGATTACACAATAAAATTTGTAATCAAATACCTGAAAAATCAAGAACCATATCAATCACTTTCCAAATACACTTTCTTATGTAAGTAGAAAATGCCTAACCGCATTCCCTTGTTGGTGTTTCATTTGTTATTTGTAGCGTCCACAGCTTTCGCATATCATGTTAGTTAGCATATCAAGTAGCTCCTGGTAACGTTTTCTTTACTTGTCTCTTTGGACAAGATTGCCACCCGTGTGTGGATGTGACATATACTACTTTAACTTCATCCCTTTTACCTTGCATGCTGCGTTAAAATTGGAATTATGCTATAAATAACATTTTTTACTACCTATCTCCCTTGTGTGTTCTAAGGGGAGATTCAAAAAACATGCAGTACATCTTATGTTATTATACAAGTAGATGAAAGCTCTTAGAGAGTGTATAGTGTGAATTTTGTGGATCATGCGCTCATATTTTTTAAGACTTACATCAAACAGATTTATTGTTACCGTAACGTTTTAGTTCAATGATACAATATATAAAAATTTATCTTCACATGATATTTCATTATTGTACTGAAAAGTCACATGATGATAAACCCGTTCCGTACAACTTTCAGTATTCTTCAACATTTCACCCTTGTATAGGAAGACAAAATAAATAATGAATTACTGGTGCTCTTTTTCTTTTCTATTTTCCAATTGGTATTATATTCTTCTTCTTTTGGCCCGTAAGTTTTGTCTGGTATTAAATTGAAATCTTCTAGGACAGATACCCATCCTCATCAAGTACTATTATATCTTCTATAAAAAAAAATAAAAAAATAAAAACAAAAGAAAAACTAATAAAAAGTGAAAACTTTAAATTTTAATTAAAAGGATAAAAATGTGTTGTAAGTGAGTAGTACTAAAAACAGCTTTTTAGAATAAAAATATATTAGTAACGCAACATAGAGACAAACTTGGCTTAGACCGACTAACTGGCTAGTCCGACCAATTAAAATCAAAAGCTTATCAATAGTTTATCGACATGTCAATATTGATAAATTTTATCAATACATCAATTCACTAATAGAAATTTACACAATAAGTAACTAACAATGTGGCATCATTTTATTAATTGACTAGACTGTCTAACTAGCAAGCTGGTCATTTGATCTATAACCTGCATTTTTCTCTACAACATGACTATTACAATGACACTAATACAGACCCCACACCACTAACCTATGACGAGAAATTTTTCAGTTTGCCGAAAACACAAACCCAATATATCAAATGTCATAATACAAGAAGTTGAATTTTTTTCTTTTAAATATTCAATCATTTGTATTATGATACTTAGTAAATTAAACTGTATTCCTGATAGACTGAAAAATCTCCCGCCCATTGATTTAAAGGAAGACTAACGAAAAAAGTTTTTGTGGGATGTCATCTTCGGATTTATAAATGAGGCAAGGAAACTGATTGGAACCTTGAGTGAGTCAATGATCACCTATTTATTTGTTGGACCACCCAGTAGGTTAGGCTCTGTTAAGTCCCAATCAACCATTTTTGTGGCCCATATCTCACTTTATAAGTTATAACAGACACACACTCTAAAACAATTGAACCACAATGCCCAATTGCCATTGGGAGAATTGGGTCCTTGTGACCTACCATGCTAAACATAATGTTTTCTCACAAGGTTGTCTTTTGAACTCAAAGGGACTTCAACACTTTACAGCATTCCGTTGCACAACTAGGGTTTTCTTTAAATATTTTTATGGTTATATTGGACGCTTTCAAACTCTGAAGCTGATTGTTCTTACTCATCGCTCTACTTACTCTTACCACTGCGCTGATTCTAGTGACTTAACGTTTGATAAAATACCATATAAATAAAAAATAAAGAACAATCGTTTCCATATTGAGTTTCCATTTGGAAATGCATCTTTTCCAATTTTTTTTTTTTTAATAAATGGAATTGAATTTCCAGAACAAAAAAAAAAAAAAAAGGAATTAAAAAATTGGCTTTGTACTATGGTTTAGTGATATTTTTTTCCACTTATACGTGAGAGATCTCAAGTTCAACTCCACTAAAGGTGAATTTGAACAAAATTATTGCTAGATCATTGTGAAGATTAGTCCACACCCCTACCTTCTTAGTGTAAATATTATCGTTTGTTGAAAAAAATGGCGTTTTTTAGGAATCTCTTTGTCAATAGGAACAAAAGGAAAAGAGGATCCACTAAATTTTGGCATTACCCCTTTTTTTGTCAAGGCGTGCTTAGCCTCCCTAGAATTACAACAAATATGTTGATAAACATAAGAATTAGGTACTACCAATGCCAAAAATTAAGAAATTAAAAATTAAAAATAAATAAGTAAGTAGGTTTCTACCATCTCGCTTCTTCCCCTTCCAAAATTAATAAATCAAATCACAGTTATTTAGTAACCCTAGTAGTAAAAATAAAAAAAAATAAAAAAAAAATCATTTTTTACGATATGAATACTACTATTACTCACTCGGACCCACTACATTCAAAAGTGCCAAAAAGTCAACGAATCACACATTCACAGTGTTGCAGAGGAACATGAGAGACGATGCGGACGCATCCCCGCCACCACCGGCGCCGAGCCTCCCGCTTCTCTCGTAGTAATCGACACAGAACAACGAAAGCGAGAGCTGGATCTCGTCCCGCGTCCAGACTCGCTTGACCATGTCCGAGTCACTGAGTCGACTCAGGACAGGGCGCATGCAGACCCTGTAGAGCCTCTTGTAGCCGCCGAGGGCGACGACTACGGGTCTCACGGAGCAGGGAGGGGGAGATGACACGTGTCGGAAGCAAAGGTGTTCCCAGATGGTGTCATTTCTGGCGACGGTGGACCAGAGGTGGCAGACGCATGCGGCGACGCCAAGGGAGGGGCCGTCGAGGCGTTTGAGGATCTCGACGAGGATGTCAATGTGGTCGTTGATGAAGAACTTGGGTCTTTTCTCTTTACTGTCTTGTGATGATGTGTTTTGGTTTTGATGCATGGTGGTTTTTGGTGGTGGTATATGGTGTCCCTAACTAGCTAGCTGATGCAAAGTTGCAAACTACACTTGCACTAGAGAGAAAGAGAGAGGAGATAAATAATGAAGAGAGACTAAAGGGTATATATTTATATAGGCTTATGCATGAAGGTGTAATTTGTAGTCATAAAGTGAGGTTTAGCCGTTACGGGGGTTTGACTTGTGCACGAGAGAGAGAGAGTTTTCTTTTGGTTTTTGGTTAGGGTTGAGGTTGTTTGATCAGCCTGTCGTTAATACTTGTCAATATTCACGAGATACTGTAAATTAGTACTATCGACAACATATAATTTGAAAAACAGATGTTTATCTTAGCAAATGTTTTATGTTATCAAATTTGTATCACTAAATAATGTATTCGTATGCATGTTAATAGTTCACTTATTAATAATATAGGACACAAATTCGAACACCACGTCATTTGATGAATAAGTTGGATGAATATGTTTAGCGTCCCTCCTTCATACTCTTAGCTATACTGTTCGGTTAATGAGTAAGTTTAATTAATAAAGAAAAGAAAAATGAAGCTTTGGGTTGGAGAAGGAGGAGGGATACCTAGTAGAGTCTGTGTATCTTGTGTGGGTATCGAGGGAAGAGAGAAGGGGCCAAAGGAAAAGTTCCAAGGCACGGATAACTGGAACCGATGCTGAATATTGCTCGGCTCTTATTTTTTCTTTCATTTTCTGCTTTTGAATATTGTTTTTTGGGGTTTAGTAGCTAGATTTGTCGTTTGTTGTTTTTGTTGTTTTTTATATTGTTATTGTGTGTGCAGCTGTGAATACTTCAAGACTTTGGTTTTAAGCCCGTTGTGAAAGTCTATGGTTATTGCTTCGCTTCGTGTCTTCGTCTACATTAAGCTAGGTTGTGGACCATATAGTAACTAGGGTAGTAGCTAGGGTTTTGAAGCGTGTGTGCGTGTGTGAATAATTCTAAGGACTAATAACTTCCTAGCCTTTAAATATAAAAAGCAAACCCTATGAAGGGATCCGTACAATTATCAACGATCACTAATTCTTTGCATACTCGCGTGCGTACGATTGCCTATAACGTTATCTCAAAATGATATGTATTTTATAGTTTTTATCAAAATAAACGCAGCAATATGCGATTAGCGGTGGCGTTGTGCCATTATCTTAACAAGATATATATATATATATATATATATATATATATATATATATATATACACACGTACGTATGTATTTCATAGTTGTAGTAAAAATAATCCACTCGCACTAAATTGAGCTCTAATAAGTTCATGACTCAACTAATTATGATTTGCCTAAGTGGTGGAGGCCAAATGGAAGGATAAAAGGAACTGCATGCTGCATGCTGCATCAGATTCAGATAATGGGTTTCTTCTTCTTCTTCCAAGGAACACAGAAAAGTGATATTATATCACATAGGAGGATGTGTTTACAAGTTTCCTCTGCAAGAAAAATAATTGAGACGAGGGGCATTGGATACCAACCACAGCAATGGCAGACTTTTTAGATGTGAGTCAGCAACTATCTGCTTGTCCTCATGAGGTTGGAATTTGGCTCAGAAAGGAAGCCCCCGAGTCCTCTTAGACAGAAAGCATATAACAAACGAAAGAAAAAAAAAACCAATAAAATAAAGGGCTTTGAGATTTGACATTAGATTTTATAAAGATAGGAGGAGGACTACTACCCCACACATGGGGAGTTGTTTTGTATTGTGTTGGACTTGTATGTTGGACTCACTTGAAAGAGAGAGCACTGTTTTCTATTCTTCTGCAGTGAAGAAAGAATTTGATATATAATTGCAAAACTACAAGCAGATCAAACCTTTAAGGCACATGAAATTTTCACAGTTTTTCACTCACTCCCCTGAAGTCTGTCATTTGTACTTTGTTGTTTGTAAAGTATGTGCCACATAAATAGGTCAACATTACTCTAGTCTAAACTTGGAGAGGGGTGGCACTGAATTATTACCTTATATGTTTTTTAAGAAAAATTAAAGAAAAGGTTTTGAAACTTTAAATCTTAACCATAAGTATTTTAATAATTTTATTTAATGATTAGAATAAAATCCAACATCAAACAGCCCAATTAGATTGGCCAACCAAAATAATTGACTGAGTTTCGATTTTGCTCTTTTGACAATTTTGATTTAGCCGGTTTTCTTCTTTCCAATTTTAAATTCTCCATAAGTCTCTCATACGGTAACGAAATCACACAAGGTCACATATTACGAGTTCGTGTTGATGCCCTCTTTCTTCTATTACAAGACCCCACACCTTGAAATTTAATGTCTAGGGAAATCGAGCTCTTCAAAGGTGACATTTTTTCAGTGATTTTTGCCAATTTTCGACCAAACCTGATGAAATTAATACTCAATCCAAGAGAGAAGATCATGTCTTCACGGGCTTCCTGTGAAGCAACAGAGTTATAGACTAAGAAAACACTCTAACAAACTTATAACAGAATATGTAATCTATTGACATGTGACACTACATCATCTATTGATCCTATACTGATGTCACTTTCTTTTCGTGTACATGCCTCCTCAAAACTGATACTTTCAGATTTGGTTCTAGAAATAGTGGCAGCATTTAGTTCTTGAAATAGTTGCAGTATTTAGTTCTAGAAATAGTGGCAGTGTTTAGTTCTAGAAATAGTTGTAGTGGTAGTTTTCAGTTCTAAAAATAGTAGCAGTGACAATGTTCAGTTCTAGAAATATTTGCAGTGTTTAGTTTGAGAATAATGGCAGTACAATGTTTAGTTCGAGAAATAGTGGCACTACAATGTTCAATTCTAAAAATAGTTGCAATAGTTTAACGGATCTACTGGGGTAACGCCCATTAAGGGCAAGGGCTAGAATAAAAAAAATGGGAGGGTTGTATTTGCTTCCAAGCCTTGAGTTTTAATATTTAGAGTTTGAAACATGTAATTTGTGTTCTTTTCATTAAATAGAGTTATTAGGGTATTTTTAGTTAAGAAAAAAATTTTAGAAAAGTCCTTTCCATTAAATCTCCTTTTTATGCACACCATTGTTAATTTATATTCATTAGATTGGTTTTAATTTATTCAATTGAAATGAGTTGTGTATGTAGTTGGAAAAATGAGTTGTGAAAATCATATTTTCCAATTTGAATCTCTCTGTCCCTCCCATCTTCAATGCAAGATTTTCTAAACAATGGCAAATGCTTTTCCAAAAAAAAAAAAACAATGGCAAATGCATGCACTTCACGTAATGACTATTGAGATAACACAATATGTACCGATGATGTTAGATCTTATAACTTTTTGCTTTATGTATAGATTGGAATATTGTCTATTCTAAAGTTGAGGAGCAACGTGACAATAGCTTAGCTACAGTCAATTATTTGCCCCTTTGATTTTGCACGTAATGACCATTGAGATAACACAATATGTACCGATGATGTTAGATCTTATAACTTTTTGCTTTCTGTATAGATTGGAATATTGTCTATTCTAAAGGTGAGGAGCAAGGTGACAATAGCTTAGCTACAGTCAATTATTTGCCCCTTGATTTTGCTTTATTTACACAATGTGCCATCCAATCCGTGTTGGGCTAGGGTTTGGGCTCCCCATTTCTCTTCATGAGCTTTTTATTGGGTTTCGGTAGGAAGCTCGGCCCTCAGTCAGGCCCTTAATGATTTAATTACATTTCTGCCCATCAAAGATTACAATCCGACAGTGGGGATGGTGTATTTGGAAGGGCAATTTTGTCATCTCGGTTTTGAGCGAATTAGGGGGTAGCCGGGTAGGTTTTCATTTGTTGTCGTTCAATGAGGGTTTCGGGGAGGCTATGTGAGAGAGAGAGAGAGAGAGAGAGAGAGAGAGAGAGGGAGGAAGGGAGGGAGACAGACAGACGGAGGTAGATGGCCATGGAAAGAGAGCGAGGGGGAGGGGTAGGGGTGATGGAATTCACAAGTGGGAGAGTGGGGATGGTCAGAGAAAACCATAGAAGTTTTTTTTTAGGGAGAATTTGTGTTTGGTTGTCGGATTTAATTTGGTTTTTGCTTTCAGGAAAAACTGGGGTTCGAATTTTGGGGTTTATGATGTGGGTTTGGTTTCTTTTTCGTGGAATTTGTTGTATTTGTACCCTTTGGATTTAGGTTTCATCAGATGGCGTTTGTAGTGTTTATATTGAACTGTCGACTCTTTTATTCTTTGTAGGTGAAATTGAAGGTCAGCAATCTCTTAAATTGATGAGGGGGCTACAATTCGTGCAAGGAAAAAGCCAGAGATATGCTACTATTTGAGAACAGATAAAGAGATGGTATCCTTCCCGTCTCGTCTGGAAATGCATTGAGTACAAGAAGTATGTGCTTGAAAATATAAAAATGCATGTCTTTTTATTTAAATTTAGTCCTCTCTAATGATGTGTAGGAGGCCTCAAATTCATATCTTGAAATATTCATGTCTAAAGTTCTGTAGATCTTCTGTTTTGGGTTTTTTTTTTTTTTTCTTTCATATTTTAGGCCAAATAAAAAAATTAGTATGAAGTCTGGATGGTCATTTAGAATTTGGTGATATTGAGAGTTGATGAAGTAGGTGTTGAAGGAGGAGGGGATGGAGAAGGTGAAGGTACTGATGGAGTATGAAATTGGTGAATTTAAGTCTGAAGGCACTATTACCTTGCTAATTTGCACCACTGATTATATAATAATTTTCATCAGGAGCAATATGTCGAACTACTGCTGCTTTGTCAGAATGAGCAGTTGAAACAATCGAGTTTATTTAATTATGATTTTCCTTGTTAATTTGGCCATGAAAATTGTGAATTATTTTCTAAATATTATATGCTTTAATTCATAAGTTGAGCAGTTTGTGTTACCCCTGTTAGTCATTTTCATGCTCATTATTTAATTGCGGACATTACACTAAACGTGTTCAATCGGTTTCATAATTTCTGATAAATTCATGCCCATTGAACGCATCAACTTATTATTCATATATATATATATATGCGTATGTATGTATATGTATATGATATATGTGACTGCTTGAATCAGGACTTATCGAGTGAAGACAGCAGCAAGGAAATTTGAGCCTTGGCCTGTAGAGATACGATTTTGCAAGGAAGCTAGGTACCTTCTAAACTTATTGGATGTGAAGATTTGTATGATCAAATTTATGATTAATGTAATTGGATTCTATTAAAATTTTCATGATTTTATAGAATTTTTCGTTTAAATTTGTGGGTTTTTTCATTTAAATTGTGGGTTTTGGAGAATTCTTAGTCAAATTTATGGGTTCTTTTGATGCGAATTTATGTGAGATTAATCAACTGCGATGTCAGATATGATAATAGGTGGGCATGTTCATATGTTTTCCAATGTTGTTATATACTCTCCTATCGACTCTGAATGTTGAATTAGTCAACTATTAATGTCAGATTAAATCAAAAGTTGGGCATCAGTTCATATGTTTTTCAATGTTTTATAAAAACGAAGCAATTTTCACTTGGTTTTGAGTGTGTTTTGTGTTTTATTTGGCTTCTGCTTTAATTAGATTTCAATCTTTAGACTAAATAAAACAAAGAACATGAATAGATTGTTAATGGTTTTACTATGTTTGGGAATTTCAGGAATTTAGATCGTCGGAGGGAGAAGTTGGTCCCTTGGCATTTTGAGGTGCATAGTTATATGCCCTTGGCATTTTAATGCAATTGAAAATGCATTACGGAATCAGAACCCGCAACAGCGCGCGGTCAATTTTCTAGTTATAACCTAAATAAGCCATTTTCTCAAATTCAAAACCAAATGTAAGTTTCAATATAATACAGAAGTTATAGTGGAGCACCAATGTAACACGAAATATAAAATTTTCCTTCGACAATGCAATATATGACACATATACTTGGCCAACTGCCCTCTTGGCTAGAAGTGAACCATTTGCGGAATCTGTGGTCTGATACAGGCTGGGAAACTTAGCAACAAATGCTTGTAGGGTTTCTCTATGGCATTATGAAATTATCAATTTTCATCTCATCGTTATGTCATCAATCTTCAATTGTTGTGTTGTCGAAATTTATTGTTTGATTAGTTTAATAATTTGAAAATGACATTTGACAATTCGGTTGGAGAAGTACAAAATTTGACACAAGACTTCAAATTGTCACTTCAACTATGAATTGTAATTTAACATTTCCTTTGGAGGTGGTCTAACGGTCCATATTTATATTTTTTTCAAGTCCAACGATAAAAAAAATCCAACGGCTGAAATTTAAATCAAATGATCATAATAAAATAATTTTTTTTAAATAGATCCACTTTAAAAATTTATTCCAATCCCATCACCCGGACAAGGCGTATAGTTTTTAGCTTATATGAACTATCATTTATGTTTTTAATTACTATTCAAGTTTTCAATTTATCTTATGAACTTTCATCTATATTGAAGTTTAGTTGATTGAGTGGTTGGTTGGCGTGATATGTTCGGTTTAAAAAAAAAATTCTGAATATAATTTTTTTAGGTTAAAACATCTGTAAAATTAAATTATGAAAACATAAAAAGTTACAAAAAAAACCTTACAAAAAAAAAAAAAAAAAAAAGGGTTAAAACCATTCCATACCAATTGGTATATTTTAGGTCCTGAAATTTAGATCATGAGGGTTGGGTGACATTCATTGTTCACAAAGCTATCTCTTAGTGAACCTGAATATTTGAGTTTGGGTCTAAAAGTTTGAGTTGGCCTTATCATGGGGCTTACACGTGAAAAACCTAATAAATTTTGACCTAGAAACAAATGGACACTGAAAATGTAATGCCAACTACTTTATTGATAACATTGAATTTTTTTTACTACATTAATAACACTAAATTTGATCAAGTAGAAATACAATACAAAGCAAACTTAGAACCTCACTATTGTAATATAACGTAACATATACTGAAGCACCAGAAATCTTCGACCAAAAAAAAAGAAGAAAAGAAATGGAAGCACCATAAATCATATAAAAACAAGACATCGGCCAGGTCCAAACACTTTTCTAGCCGGTAGACACATCAAGCTAAGTTCGGCGCCCCCTCCTCGCCCTTGCGGGTCCTGCCTTCCTGAAAGTCTCCACAAACCATTCATGCTTCTTGAAAGGGTTCTTGATTGAGTGGTTGGTTGGTGTGATATATTTGGTTTTAAATTAAAATTTTCGGAATATAATTTTTTTAGGTTAAAACATCTATAAAATTAAATTAAGATAACATAAAAAGTTACAAAAAAATCCTTACCCAAAAGAACGAAAAAAAAAGGGTTAAAACCATTCCACACCAATTATACATTTTAGATCCTGAAATTTAGGTCTTGAGCGTTGGGACACATTCGTTATTTCAAAGCTAAATTTTTTATTTTTTTTATTTTTGTGAACCTGAATATTTGAGTTTAGGTTCAAAAGTTGGAGTTGATCTTACCAAAGACTTACACGTGAAAAACCTAATAAATTTTGACCTAGAAGCAAATTGACACAAAGAAATGTAATGTCAACTACTTTATTTATAACACTGAATTTGATCATATAGAAATACAATACAAAGCAAAATTTTTTTGAACAAAATACAAGGCAAACTTAGAACCCCACTATTGTAATATAACATAACAACATATACTGAAGCACAAGAAATCCTCGACCAAAAAAAAAAGGAAAAAAAAAAAAGAAAAGAAGGGAAGCACCAGAAATCATATAAAAATAAGACATTGGCCTTCAAGGCCCAAACACTTTTCTAGCCGCTAGACACACATCAAGCTAGGTTCTGCGTCCCCCTCCTCGCCCTTGTGGTTGTTGGCTTCCTCCTCCTGCTGAATTTCTCCACATACCATTTATGCTTCTTGTCTGCCAATGTGTTTCCAGCAACCACTCCCACTATGAGTCCGCTAACAACTCCCGGCAAGACTACATACCAGTCAAACTTAAATGGAAATCCAGCCTCTTCATCTGCTTCAAAGCTTGATGGTGGCGGCAGCCTCGAGCTCTCAGAACCCTCGCATTTCTTGGACAAAGGCTTTCCACACAGACCTGAGTTTCCTTGGTATGAATCTTCTAGGAATGTGCCAAATTGTTGGCCAAGTGGTATAGGCCCCCAAAGATGGTTATGCGACACATTGAAGTACTCAAGGAAAGTGAGTTGTGCCAAGCTACCGGGGATCATTCCGGAGAGCTTGTTTTGAGAGAGATCCAACGATTCAAGAGCAGTCAAGTTCCCTAAAGATGAGGGGATGTGACTAGAGAGAGAATTGTTGGAGAGGTTTAGCAACTGAAGTTCTCTTAGACTCCCAATGATACTTGCTGGAATCTCTCCTTCAAATCTATTACTTGAGAAATCTAAGAGTCTCAGATCATAGGGGGTCCGATAATATGTCAACTTAACACCTTTTACATGAATTATCATATCGTATGAAAATTGATAGTAATTTCCATATTTATTTGTGCTCGATGAGACTTCAAAGTACCGGCTTCCATCGTTTGCGACAACATATTTCATGAAACTCCAGTTCTCCATGTACTTAGAAGGCAACATACCTGAAAACAGATTGTTGGATAAATCAATGATGCACAAGTTTGGGAACTCATAATTAGTTGGAGGCTTCCCAATTATCCCATGAAATGCATTCGACCCCAAAATGAGACCCCTCAATATTGGAAGTACCCCTAACCAAGAAGGGAAGATATCACTGATCTGATTGTTGCCAATGTGAAGAAACTCTAACCGAGTGCAATCGGCCATTGATCTTGGTAGCTTCCCCTGTAACTGATTGTAACCCAACAAAACCAATTTCAAACTATTTTTTATAGCGCAAAATGGAGGAATATCGCCATGGAAAGAATTATAAGTCAAGGCCAGCATTTCCAAGCTACTGGACTTCCCCAAACACCGTGGAAGCATGCCACTCAGGCTGTTGTTGCCCAAATTAAGAACTTGAAGATAATTCAAGTTGCAGAACAATGGTGAAACTTCTCCACTATAATTATTATTGCCGACGCTGTAAGACATGATAGATTGTGGTGGAATTGGCAATGACCCTTGTAACCGATTACCGTCAAGACTAAAAAGCTGCAGATTTTTCCATGGAAGAGTGACTGGATTTTCTTCAAGGCCTGTTAAGAAGTTATAATTGAGGTTGAGATTGACCAAAGTTTCTCTAGTTGCATTCCAGAGCCATTTTGGTATTTGGCCATGAATATTGTTATCATAAAGGTCCAGGGCTCCCAATTTGTATTGATTTTTCAAAAATTCTGGAAACTCTGTCAAGTTGCATTCAGCCAAATTTAGAACTTCGAACTTTGGAAGAGTAGCACTTGAACCAGATTTGACACGCACAGATAACTTGTTGTCCGATAAACCAAGTTTCTTCAACTTTTTGAGGTTGGAAAACTCATTAAACTCAACTATTCCACTCAAATTATTAGAGGAAAGGCCAAGAAATTCAAGATTTCTGAGGTGGAAAAGCGACTTAGGAATTGCTCCTTGCAAATCGTTGAAGGTGAGCCGCAGAAAAGTTAGTTGGTTCAACTCTAATGCGAGCCAAGATGGGATTTCACCAGTTAGTGAATTGTCAAACAAGTCTAGAAACGCAAGTTGGGTCAGGTTAGCCACAAAACGTGGGAAATTCCCCTGTAAGTTAATATCTGAAAGATCCAAGTAGTTGAGCTTGGTTAATTTTCCAAAACAAGACAAGGAATCAGGAACTAAGAATTGGCCTGCGGAAACGTCATGAAATGAAGCCATCTCAAGGAAACTGAGCTGGGTAAGGTTTCCAAATGAAGATGGAACATGGGAATCAAAACCACAGTATGAGATATCAAAGTAGTTTAAGGAATGAAGGTTTCCGATAGAACTAGGAAGTTCACCAGAGAAATTTGTCGATGAAACATCCAATGTTTTGAAGGAATTGGTCCGGTTAAAAGTAGGAAAATAACCATTTAGCTTTATGTTTGAGTATAAACTAAGCTCCTCTAGGTTTGGTAGGTGGAAAATGCCTACTGGAAATTCCCCATACCACCCACAGTAGCTTAGATTGAGAGATGTGAGAGAAGATGCATTGACCAAGATATCAGGCACAGTGGAGTATATGCCTACATCACTAAGATGAAGTTGCTTTATGCTGGTCAAGTTTTGGACTAGGATTCTCATGTTGGACTTCCTAAGCTCCAAACCATTATTGTAAGACAGATCAAGGGTAGACAGTTTGGATAGCTTTGAAATTTCAGATGGAATTTGACCAGAAAATGCAGACAGTGAAAGGTTGAGATAGGATAGACTCGAAAGGTCATGGCCCAATCTCAATGGTATTTCAGACGAATTGAAGTTGTTATCTGAGAGGTCAAGCATCTGCAAGTGAACAAGTCGGAAGAGGGTGCTGTTGGAATTGATAGAACCATAGAGACAGCTGCTCTTGAGGTCAAGGCCAATGACATGACTAGACTCCGCATGGCACTCAACACCATCCCACGAACAACAGTTACTCTGATTATGATCTCCTTCTCGAGTCCAAGATGCAACCTTTGGGTAAGCAAAAGGAGATGAAGAAGCTGACTTGTTTATCGTAAAGCTTTCCTTGAATTGTAACAAGAATGAGTGCTCATCAGCGTGGCAAAGTGTCCGTGTCTGAGTCTGCACAAATGAAAAACAGTGAGTAGCATTGAGTAATAGCAAAAGAAGACAATGCAAATAGGTAAACTTGGACAACCACGATTCCATTTTCATGGCAGTGTGTTTTTCTGGTTATAAATATCGTTTGATGGCTCTCAGATAATTAAGAGTGGAGAAGTATACTCCTTTTATAGACACAACTCATGCAAGCATAAATAAAAAAAAAATTATGAGTCGATCCATGAGTGGGTGGTGAATTGATGTCTCAATCGATGAGTGAAGTAAACTCCTTTTACCTGGCAGTCAGAAAACGTTTGTTTGGCTCAGAGTAAGTCTTTTGGATGTAACTAGGCAACCTCAGTGGAAGTCAAGTCATCGTTTGATAAAATCAGCCCATCCTCATCACTTGAAGACTTGAAGTCATTCAT